AAAACATTTTTAAAGATACACAAACTTTTCAAGACTTTTTTTTTTTTTAGAATTACTTTATTTAACTTTATTTATTATTATTATTATTATTTTCCAGTTTGATGAGGAAGAGACAGAGAAAGAGAGAGGGAAAGTGAGAAAGCAAGCCACCAGGTTTAGGACTTGAACTGTGGTTGCCCATGTGGGAGTCCAGCGCCTTTAACCACCACACTACCTGCCTGCCCCTAAAAAACATTTGAATAGAGCCACTGCCCATGTGGAGACCATCTGGAGAGGCACAATGGATACAACTGACCCTGCCCTCTAATGCCATACTTCTGTCAGAGCCATTGGGTCCTCGGATATGAATTGCAGATGATGGTGGTTATGGCTGGTCATGGTGGTGCGAGCTGTCAGCACCAAGCACGTCAGCACTGAAGTCACAGTGGACACGACTTTAGACCAGAAGGGCTACATGATTACAGCCTTTCAGTTGTTGTGCGTCTCCTGGCCTGGGATGGTCCTGTATGTGGTGGTGCCATTGTTAGGACGTGCTCATCTGACACGCCCGGTCTTCTCAGCTTGGTGAGCTGAAGAGCTCATGCCTGCTGCCCAGATACTTGAGCCAGGCCTGGCGGCTGCCCCAGCACAAACATAATCGTAATGGTGTTGGTGGCTCCTTGGGCCCACTCCGGCCTTAACTGAGTGTTGCTCTGTCCAGTAAGATGCTTGCTTTTGGGCCTCATGCTTTATAGTCACTCTGAGGAGGTATTTGTTGATTTCTGTTGAAAACGTGCATGTTTTGGGGTCGGCAGATGGCATATTAGGTACATTGCTGGTCTCCCACATGGCTGGCTGTGGTTTGAGTCCCAGACTTGGTGGCCTGAGGGCACGTGTATGTGCGTGACTAAGATCCTGGAAAGAGAATGGAGGAGAAGGGATTATGGGAAGTGATTTCTCACTTTTCCTCTTATTGCCTCTCTCTCTCTCTGGTGAGCACATGCATTCTAAAGCAAATAGCTCTAAAAAAAAAGTGTGTTGTGTGTGTGTATACATTTAAAAAATTTGCCCGAGGGTATGTGTGAGGGGCAGAGGGAGGGAAAGCATGGGACACTTTCATTCTGCGCTCTAGTCTCCATGTCTCATTCTGGGCACATACACACATGCATCTGGTGTGTTTCTCAAGCCACCAGGTCTGGGATTTGAACGTGCAGTTGGTCATGTGGGATCCAGCCACCTTAACTACCAAGCCATGGAAATGTTCATATGGGTTTTTTCCTTTATCCATTTATTGCGCTAACAGGTTTTGTAAAATCGGACTCTCCTTGCTCTCCTAGGTGAGCGCCATGTTCCTAATCCAGGTATGGGTCATGTTACTACAGTGCTGAGGGTTGGGGCTACTGCTTATAGGGGCTGCTGCCCCACAGGTTTCCTTGCTTGGTTGATGGAAGGGCCTGGGCTCCCTGGCGCTTGCCTTTGGGGTTCTTTTTGCTGTGGCGTGTTGGTGGCCTGGGGGGCCAAGGAAGCCTACAGGAAGGCAGAGCAGGTGGATACGATGCACACTCTGGGTACTCTGTGTAGATTCCGTCACTCCTGTTTTAGTTTCCAAGGGCTCTGTTCTTTTTTCTCTGAGTGTTTTAAAGGGTGTTTTGATTTTATTGCACGGATACAGTGTCCCATCACTATGAGCATAGGACTGATAATTCTGTGGAAACTTTGCCTTCTTACATAGTTGGTTTTCTCCAGGTTGCTGTTTTTTTTATTTTCTTTTTACCTTGTCTGTTTTGAGTTCGATTGCTTCCTAAACCGGTGGCCCTTGGCAGCTGCTCAGACTTCCCAGTGGGTCACTAAGGAGGACTGAGCTGGGGCAGGCTGGAGGACTGGCTTCATTTAGGTGTAGGGCTGCCTTGCCTCTCTCTGCTGGCATCTGCTATCTTGGTGCAGGCTCCTCAGCTTCTGCCTGAGAAAAGAACACCCCTAGGCTGGAGAGCTGAGGGTTCTGCAAACTCCTCCATTTCAGCCTGACCTGTTGTTTTCAACTGAATCTGGTACAGAACTCTGCACTCCCTTCCCACACTGCATTCTCTTAGTAGGTAACCCCAGCTTTGGTGGAGGAGGGCGTTGTCATCCGGCTGGCTACAGTGGGTGGGGAAGGAATATTCTACCGTTGGGAGCAGACCTGCGGGGAGGTGGGGAACCAGGAGTTTACAGCCAGAGTTTCTGTACTGCTGGATCGAGATCTGACTTCCCACCAGCTCCCCAGCTTCCATAATGTTGCCATTATCTCCTTTCCTTTCTTTGCCTTTTTTTTTGAGCAAGGCCTAGGGGTGGACTTTATTGTTACCTTATTTGAGGCTCTGAGAGTGATTGGTTCTCATGTGTGCATTAACCTTCCATCCTTTAGCCAGAATAGCACCTTTCTCAGATTTTTCCAGGAGAAAACTTGCTTGTTCTCAGGCCGGATATCAGAAATACGTTAAATGCATGGGACTCCACATATAACAGAAACAGCAACCAAATTGTTTGCATGTAGTCATATGACAATTTCTTTTTATTGAAAAACAGGCACAGAGCTCTGAAGAACCTATGGAAATGGATTGTTCATCTATAAATTGGAGGCATGACTTTGAGATTTAGTTAGACCCAGCAATAGCTTGGGCCTTCTGAAGTCTGATGTCCCTGAACTCCAGTGACCGTTGGTGTGGACGGAGGACACAGGGCTCTGACCATGGTTACGCTCATCACTGAGAAGCTTCAGAGCCAGAGTCTGGATGACCTCACCCGCCAAACCTGTGAGGCTAGCCCGGTAAGCAGGCCGTAACCCTGTGATGTTGCAAGAATGACTGAGCTGTGAGGTGGAGGTCTGAGGGGCTTGGGTGGGAGTTGGGAGCACTAGGAACTGTCGAGTCAGAGGGAGGTGTTTGATGGGAGATCCAGTGCATACACGGCCCTTGGAGCCTATCTGCTTTATTATGATGGGTTTTCACCATCAACAGGGGGCTGGCTCCGTGGCCTGGTGGTTAAGGGAGATAGATTCCCCATGGCTGATTGCACAGTTTGAGTCCTGGACCTGGCAACTTGAGAAACAAGTTTGTTGGGTGCATGTGCAAGCCTGCCCAGAATTCTGAAAGGAGGGAGAGATGGAGGAAAAGGAATTGTGATCATTCCCCATGGGAGGTGCTTCTCTTCTCCCTCTCTCTCTGTCTCTCTGGTGAGTGCATGTGCCCTCTAGCAAAAAAACAAACCAAACAAAAAACAGCCAAAAAATGAAAAGCAAAAAGCCAATAGAGCCAGCCCCATGGCCTAGAGGTTAAGTAAGTTGGATCCCTTGTGGCTGACTGCAGTTTGAGTACTGGCCCGGTGGCTTACTCTGCGCAGGATAGAGAAATGGAACAGGAGGGGTTGCAGTGTGATTACACCTTATTGGGGAGGTGCTTGCTCCCTTTCCTCTCCCTCTCTGTCTCTCTCTGGTGAGTACATGTGCCCTCTGACAATTAAGAAAAAATGAAATGAGTGTGAACAGAGGGATGTCTTAGGAGTTCAGGAGTCCTTAGGGCCTGGTGCACTTGTTACTTGCCATCTAGACTGTACAGCTGCCTATGACCCTGCCAGGACTTCTCTCCAAACCCTCCTGGAACCAGCCCTTCCTGAGAGAGCCTCTTTCCTGCCTGGTTTGAACTTTATGTAGTCAGATTCATTTTTCTATCATCACGGTAAAGTGAACTTTTGATGTGTCACTTTCAGGATACTTCTTTCCGTCATTAGATTATGGGTCAACAAGAAGATGACTGAGTGGCCCCCAAATCTGTATACAATGCAGGAGGGTCCCACATAATTAGGGGGCACTCAAGGCTTCCCTCTTGTCGCCTGAAGCCTGCCTGTGCATGGTTCTGGGATAGATGAGCATGGTTTATTCTGATCTTGTTGCACACTAAGGAAATGAGAAAGTGGAAGGAAGGCCATGGACCCCAGGCTTTGGACTGGGCTGTGGGACCCATTTTTTCTGCAGGTGGCTTTAACTGTGTTCTAAGCCAAAGGTCTGCTCCTCCCAAGGAGCTGCCTTTTGAGGTTCCTGGGTGGAGGGTGGTCTGGGCCTTCTCCAGGTGGGAGTGGTAGTGGGGATCCTCTACAGAGAGCGGCTTGTGGGGCCTGGTGCTGGGGCCAGCCATGATAGCGATGAGACGTGGTAATTCTGGCTGCATCTTAGGGTCCGTGCCCAGTCTGTCTGTCCCCAGGGTGGCAGCTGAGCAGGAAGGGGAAGCGCCTTCCCAGCTTCCCGCCCCC